GTAAATTCTGCCTTTGATCGAATATGCTTAACAAGTTTATGCTTTGATTGAAGACCAACATAGAGCAAATTTGTAATTACTTTTTTTCTTTGATCCTCGCTAAACGTATTAGAGAATAGGTCTGTTTTCAAAATACATTGCAAGTTATTTGCGAATCTGCTTTCCGGAATCTCCTCATTAAATGATTCAAACTCTATATCCGAAAAAGTCCGAATTAGAATGTTGTCAGTAGCTTGGCTCAGACTGGCCTTACGTAGGGTATCAGGGTTTAGTGAACTTCCATCAGATCCTTCAAATTCATATTCAGTAAATGGCATAACACAAAAAAAGATGAATAATTCTTTCCATTCATATGGGTGACCTTTATAATATGACCTCACATGATCCATATCTAAGTCCAATTCATTCTCAACTTCAAATATTTTGTGCAAAATTTCTCTATAGCTCACATTCTGATGCCCATACTTATTGAATATTTTTCTGTAGTCGAATTTGGTAATCTCAAATAAATCAATATCTGTATCTATCTCCATATGAATATCCTCACCGCCTTCCAAAATATATCTCTTAGTATTAATAAAAAAAGAATCTTTGTTCATTGTAATTAAGTTAATGTTAACAAAAACTTCATTATTCTTTCTTGTGAGACATCTCAATTTATAGGAAATTAATTAAAGTTAGCATAAAAGAAATACTTGTTTCAAGTACCATTAGGAAATAATTACATTTTGTGGGGTTATTGAACTGCGAACATCACGATAAAATTTTGGTATTACCAAGATTAACCAATTTAGTAAGATCGATAATAATCAGAAAGATGTTGATATGGAGGATGGAAGAAGACATATACGTTTATAAACAATTTTAATATGCTGAATTCTAAGGGGACTACTATACTTAAATAGCATGACGTTACCACAGCGTAACCTGCACAACAAAGCGTGCGACACAAAAACAACAAATTGCAAGTTATGGTTGTGTCAAATGACAAAAAATTACTCTCATTGCATTTTTATCTATCATAGAGGTTTGCACACACGTTCATTCTTTGATTTGGGCATATCGAGTCTCGCGATTCATGTGTTGTGGCGTTAAATGATCATAAGATGATAAGAATGTTTGAAAAATATCTTAGTGGACCTCAGCAGCAAATAAGATAGACAGAAATAAAATCTTTCAACAGAGCGAACAATCATGAAGGACTTCGTTCCTAATGACGTAATAATCTTATCTTCTCTTTTTTTACGACTTTAACAAGTCTGCAAAACGCGCAATCTCCAAGTTCAGGTGATAGATCCTTCTAACGATAATTTATACGCAGGAGATTGCTGAGACATTTCACCTTTTTTGGATAGCATACGACGTCAGACGGGAACGTTTGAATTCACGCTAAGACATTTCATTATATAATCACTGTTGTGATTACGTAACCTCAACTAATTAACGATTAAGGGGTGAACAATAAAGCATCGCTGTTTAATATCTATCACATAATGCCATGTATGTATTTTTCAGGGGTTGATAGCAGTGCTATCACCATCGATGATCCTAGCAACCATTGCATTATAATAAATCCAGAACTATATGGTAGAGTCCACAATAACAAGGAAGAAAATGCAAGAATTTTTTTGGATACTCACTTATTAAGGATTCGAAGTAAAAGAAGAGAGCGAAAACCCTCCTCAGGGAGATTAGTGCCCAAGAGTAAGGCATCCATAGACGTAGGGAATAGGCCTTCTATGTCTATTCTTGCGTATACCAGCCGTGGGTTAGTTACTGCGGAATTCAGGGAAATGAGTAGTGATGAATTCAAAGGTACCTACCTTGCCCCGCTTGATAATGCTCTTAGAGAATCAGGTATCAGGAGTCGACTTTTAGCAGAAGACTATCGTTATTCATTCGGAGATGCAATGCATGTGGAACAAGCTATCCAGCAGTACTTTAATGGGAAAATAGCTGATCAACTTAATGATCTTTTTCACGACGTTGGTGATATAGACAACTATTTTGGAAGTCCATCAATAATAAGACCGCCATTGGATCAACGAAGAATAGTACAACCTGATATCATTCATATGATAAATAAATCGGATTCAGATATACAAGATCCCGAAGTTGTTTTCGGGATAGGTGATTACAAAACGGGAATCTATAAGATGACAGAAGGATTTGAAGAATTGAAGGCAGCTATAGAGAGTCAAATCGAGAATTTGCTGAACCAAAGAAGATTGAGGCTGCAATCCAGTGTGAACTTTTTTCCAGATAGGGAGTGGACGCCTAGGGTATTATTTGCTTTGGTTTTAAGGAAGTATATATATCAAGCTTTCCTCTGTGGAACCGACAGGATTTTTATTTCAGATCACCAAACATTCTCAGGGTTCTTTAAGTATGAAATTATGGATGACAAGATGTCTATAGACTACTATGTCATTAATGATCCAGAAACTGTTGAGCATGGCATTACTTTGAGGTCGGCAATAGCCGGATTTTTCTATAAGAATGAGGATGATGCGATTGATACAAAGGGCAGGTTGAAGAAAACTTTCGAAGTGGCCAGGAAAACTGAAGAACTGGATCCGTTTTTGAATGTTTTGCCTAAAACTTCTTATGGATCTCCAGGAAAATTATCGGATAGTGGGATTTCAAGTAAGTTAGCAAGTAAGTTAGATCCGGTAAAAGAAAACGACGATAGTGATAACTTTGATAACTTTGATGGCATTGATGGTAACACATATTGTCGAGTTATATACGATGCTGCAGAGTTTTATCCTGATTTGAAACTCCCATCCCCTGTTTTTGTCAAATTATACTATTATTCTAGTCGGTTGTGGGAAGAGAATGATTTGATATGTTTGGAGATACCAGAGAAAAAGGGCTACTATGGCATGTTCTTCAATGAACTTGTAATCAACGAAAAAATTGCTAGTTCTCAATTTGCTTCTAATTTCCCAAAGCTCCTAGTCTCAGGTTACTGGAACGGGCTTTCTGATCATCCGATGCATATATTTGAATACCTAGGGAAGGAGGTCCCAGAAGAAAAGTGGAATAACAAAGAAGTGTACAAAGTTATCAAGTCAAGACTCGAAGAGCTTCATCTGATAGGAATCTCGCATAATGATATTAGGCTAGCCAACATTCATGTGTCTGTTTCTGGTAAGATATCTTTGATAGATTTTGGATTATCGGACTGCACAAATAATGAAGAACACAAGAAGAATGATTTTGAGACTCTTGACTACATATTGAGAGCAAATGGTTCTAATGACTGTTATAAGCATGCCAATCGATTTAATAGCGAAGCTATATCTGCTGATAGAGCAGACGAAGATGACAAATATGGAAATGATAGTAATTCTTCTAGTGAAGAAGTATTTGATGAAAGGAGTTCAGGAACTTTTGGTACCCGAACAACGATAGAAGATATTGCTTCAAAGTCATCACAAAGATAATGCATACCTACAGGCTATTTTTTATCCTATTCATTTGAATCTTGATATTTGCCAGGTATTATTGGAGCAATGATTCGACAGAATTGATGTGTTTGTTTTTCCTTCTCAGTATAGGCATTCACCCGCCTGGAACTTGTCTAATGCCTTATAACTCTCACTCTCGTCTTTCAACTCCCTAGCACTTCCACACTTTTTCTGTTAACTATTATTAGCTAGAAATGACTTAATACACATAACTTGCTTGCATCAAACTCGTAATTGCTGGATATGATGATTTCAAGGGGACTGTACTTTACATAGTTAATTGATTAAATAGCATGACGATCCCACAAAGCATAACCTGCAAACCGTAGCGTGCGACATATCAGAAACAACAAATTGCAAGTTATGGTTGTGTCAAATAGAAGTGATACTTTATATTCGAATTTTACAATGTTGCATTTTATCTATCATAGAGTTGTACACGTTAAGTTTTGATTTAGGCCTTTCTAGTCATTTGTGCTAACTTCAACCAGTTTAAAATAGCTTTCATGCATAGGAATGGTTTATTGAATACCTATCTATGGTCCACATATTGGGTGCCTCTGCATGCGCAACTGGTTGCATTTTTCTAGGAACAATTAATTGCGACTATTTCACTTGTTAGAAGCAAACCACTATTAACAATTTCATGTGCATTATTAATTTAAATAATATGATACATAGTCTTTCTATTGATTGGAGCATGGCTATTTAAAATTATCAATATTCTATTTTTTGCTCTGTTTATTTGTTTGGAAGTATCATGACGTCATGCTACTCTCAAAAGTAAATAAAAACCAGTTTTTGATCATGGGCTTACAGGTTATAGTTCAGTTGAAGCGGTCTTGCATCCTTCTCGCCTAAACCTAATATTCTATTCCATTCCAAAGAAATACGAATATAGATTGCGCCCAATTGTAAGGTATATCATTCTTCTAACATCTATATTTTTCTGGAATAGGCTGTCCAAATACTAGGCACAATTCTCTGTGTTCACTCTTCTTAGTCTCTTCATTAGCAGTTACAGGCCTAGAACGCTTTTCGTCGTTATCATCATAATTAGAATACCCAAAATCGATAAAATAGACTTTCCCTTTGTAATAGAGAATATTTCTCAAATTAATGTCCCCGTGTATTATCCCATTATAGTGGATTATTTCTAATTGTTCTTCAGCCTTTTTATAAGTTTCCTCGTCCAATGGACATTTCGTTTGACCCAAATACTTTAATATGAGAAATGGTCCCAAAGCGTGGTAGTGTTTGCCCATATTAAATTTACCAAAAACACATTGCTGATCAATGTAAATGCTGTTAAATTTTAGATTAGATATTAGCTTTTCATAGGCTGTCTTCTCACACAGATATGCTCTTCGGCATTTGCCGAAAATATCAGTTTTGTCGACCGTATAACTATCATGCTTTCTCTTGGCCTTGATTGGATCAAAGACCTTAACAATCAATTTGTCGCCTATCCCAATATTTTCTCTTAAATAATCTTTTACCTCTTTAATATCTACTTTGAAAAGTTGAGAATTGAAACTAAACCCACTTTGCACATCAATTTTCTCAAACTTTCCAAGACTTATACTTGTATCAGAAAGGTAAAGGCGTTGCTCTTTAGTCCTATAAGCATCGATACAGAAATTTCTATAAGCTGCTTCATATTTCTCGGCTAGTCCATCAATATAAGTCAAGTATTCTTCGTCTGTCTTACGAATATACTTATAGATCTCTTCTAATCCTCTCTTAACCTCATTTAAGCGAATTTCATTCACATTGAATGCCTCATAGATAAACGAAATGAGTCCACCTCTCAATGTAAGTCCCGACGACTGACAATCCAAGATTTTATAATTGAGAGCTATGTGCTTGCTGGAATCCAAAAGCTCTGTATGATGCTTGATTGCCTCCAAATTCCTCTCGATATCTACTTCAACCAATATTGTTGTATAAGAGTCTGTTAGCATGCCTTTGTTAGTGTGGTTAGAAAACATTTCCGCGACAACTTGAACGAAGAATCTAACCATTTTTGAATCATTAAAGTTTATCACTTTGTTTCCCTTCAAAAGTGGTAATTTTTTGACCTCTACAATAGCTAATGATCGGTAATGTATTTTCTCCGTATAAGCTACAATATCCGGATGAGAATAAAATAAATCATTTGTTGTGTGAGGTACTCTAGTTTGCACTCCTGTCTGACCGTCTGTATTTCTCTCTTCAACTTCTATTTCAAAGCCCAATAAAGCAGCAAGATATTCACTTAGGGGTGTAAACAAATATTTCAGAAAATTATCTCTGTAAGTTGCTTCAGCCTTCGACCCAATATGCTTAACAAGCTTATAGTCCTGTTTAAAGCAAACTCCAAGCAACTTCGTAATAACTTTTTTTCTTTGATCTTCGCTAAAAGTATTAGAGAATAGGTCAGTTCTCAAAACACATTGCAAATTAGCTGCAAGCCTATCTTCCAATATTTCTTGGTTCAGTAATTCAAATTCTATATCTGAAAAAGTTCCAATTAGAAGGTTGTCAGTAGCATCACTCGGACAAGCATTATGAAGAGTATGAGGGTCTAGTAGTTTACCATCAGACCCTTGAAATTCATATTCGGTAAAAGGCATAACACAAAAGAAGATAAATAATTTTTTCCATTCATTTGGATGATCGTCAAAATACCACTTGTGCTTTTGAGGAACTGTATCCACATCAGATATATTTTCAATTCGAAAAAATTTATACACCATTTGGGTATGGCTGATATTTTGATTCGCACTTTTATCAAATAATGTTCTATAGTCGAATTTGGCAATATCAAAACTATCGATATCATTATCAACATCAATATTCATATCCCTGTCTTCATCGCCGCGTTCCAAAATATATCTCCTAATACTATTAGGAAAAGTGTTGTTATTCATCGTGATTACAATAATGTGAGCAAATTATTTCTTGTGGGACTCCCTCATTTTATAGGGAATTAATTAATTTTAGCATAAAAGAAATACTTGTTTCAAGTTTCACCTAGGAAATAATTGCATTTTGTGGGGTACTGGTATGCGAACATCACCAAAAAAAGTTCTGGTGTTACCAAGATTAACGAGTTTGGTAAGATCGCAGTTGATAACCAGGAGAATATTGACGTGAAGGATAAAGAAGACAGATATCTTATAAAAACAATTTTGATATGATGAATTCTAAGGGGACAATAACACTTTATATAGTTAATTGACTAAATAGCATGATCCCACATAGCGTAACCTGCAAAACCGTATCGCGCGACACTTCCACTAAAGCAGTATATTGCAGGGTAAAGTGGTATGCAGTACAAGTGCAGTACATAAATCCGTTTTCTTACCAAATAGTTCAAGACGGTTTATTATATAATCAAACTCGGGGTAACCCCAGATCATTAAATAAGGGATGAAATTACAACCACACTAGTTCAATACTCAACATATTATCATGCCATGTATGTACTTTTCAGGGGAAAATAGTAACAATATTACGTATGATGACCCCTCAAATAAATGCATTAGGATTAATCCATCATTATATGCTAGGGTTCAAGATGACAATGAACAAAACATGAGAGTTTTTTTAGACACTCACCTTTTGAAAATAAGAAACATCTCACATAATCAAAAATTACCTACGTTGGAACATATAGTATCCAAACATAATGCTTCAGTTTCCACTGGATCTACGACTGTGATGCTGGCCCTAAATTATGTTACGAAAGCGATGATGACGGCAGAATTTAGAGAGATCAGTAGTGATGAGTTCAAAAATACATATCTGGCTCCTCTTGATAAGGTTATTAAAAATTCAGATCTCAGCGAAGAATTGCTATCAAAGAGATATGCTTATCCTAGAGGAGATGCCACGCATGTGGAAGATGATATCCAGATATATTCCAATGAAATAGCTTGTTCAGTCAATCGTTTCTATCTTGACATCTTGGATGAATTCCACTATTTTGGTTACGCTTCAAGTATCACACCTCCGTTGTCGACAAACCCAAGCTTTAAGCCCGATATTGCCCATGTGTATTGGGATGAGGCATCAACTCGTCAAAATCCAGATATTTGCTTTGCTATAGGAGATTATAAGACAGAAACCTATTTTTTAACTAAAGGACTTCAAGAATTGAAATTAGCTATAACGGAATTTGTAGAAAAGCGCTCGAACTTGAAAAAATTGAGGCTGTATGAAAACCAGCACATATTTGAAGATCGAGAGTGGTCGCCTAGAGTTTTATGCGCATTAGTTTTAAGAAAATATCTTTATCAAGCCTTTCTCTGTGGGACAGACAGAGTGTTTATCTCAGATCATCAGTCATTTTCGGGGTTTTTCAAATATGAGATTATCGATGATGGAAAAATGATCATAGATTACTATGTTATTAACGATCCCGAGACTGTAGAGCATGGCATAACTCTAAGGTCAGCGATAGCAGGCTTTTTCTACAAGGATAATACAGAGGCGCTCAGTACAAAAAGGAAATTAGCAGGACTAATTGAAATAAGTCAGAAAACCAGAGGGCCAGATCCATTAGCGAATGTGCTTCCTCGACTTGTGGAAGAACCCGCACCAAGTCGTAAACGGAAACGTAGCAAGATGTCTGGGAGTCAACTTCGAAAACGATTGATAACTATAGAAGAAAGCAATGAAGTCGACTTTGATGCCATTCGAGGTAACACATTTTGTCGGATAATATATAACCCTGCTGCATCTTTTCCTAATTTGGGATTGCTGCTTCCGTCAACAGTCTTTGTTAAATGGTACAACTATCCTGAGCCGGCTCAAGAAAATTTTCCAGATAAGGATAGTTACTACGACATGTACGTCAATGAGCTTGAAATTAATGAGATGCTTGCGAACTCGTCTTTTGCTGGAAAATTCGCAAAGCTTATAGTTTCTGGATACTGGAATGGTATTCCAAGCCAGCCGATGCATATATTTGAAGATTTGGGAGAAGAAATACCATCTACTAAATGGGATAAATTTAGGGTGCATAAAGTAGTTAAGGAGAGACTCGCCGAAATTCATCTGTTGGGAATTTCGCATAATGATATTAGGCTTGACAATATACATGTTTCAATATCGGGGAGGGTCACTTTAATAGATTTTGGGTTAGCTTTTTACCCAAGTAGTGCAGAGCAGAAAAAAAGAGACTTTGAAGCCCTTGATGAGCTTGTCCCAATTATTGGTTATGGGATTCCTGGGGAGGATAAAATCCGTGATGTTGTCTTAGCTAAAAACGAAAATAATGAAAGTAGGTACAATGATCATGCAAATTCCAGTGACGAAATGGTCTTTGACGAACTGGGTTTAGAATCTGATGATACCCCAGGGTCTACTAAGATTGATTTCAATTCGAAGTATGATGAAACTTGATACAAATGACTTCGGAGCGGTTCAGAAGTATTTTTGAAAGATGTGTACAGAATAGAGTTTTGTGTTTTAGAGTGGTATGACTTATTAAGCTTAAGATATCGATTAAAATTATGTCATAACTTCAAAACTATAAGCAATGGAGCAGAGGAATTTTGCAGAAAGTCTATATATTTTTATGATAGAAATTTCATGTCATCGTGATTCTTCAAGATACAATTGAATATTTACTAGTTAATAAATTATGTATATCAAAAAGACGAAGTAATACTTCTATTTCATCATAACGTGAGCAACCTCGTCACCCGGAATAGCTGAAAAAACGCACACAAATATGTTAAGCTAAGCTACTAAACTAGTCAAACATGCTTCTCATATACTTTTGATTCTTCCATTTATCGCCGACAGCTTCCTCGTACGTGCGTCGCTGCTGATACGAAAGCTTGCTGAGTTCGTTCGTTCCGTAGAAAACACTATATCCTAAATCCGTGCAGCTGAACATATCCTTAGCGTGCTTCCGAAGCTGCTGATATAACTCGTCCACCATCAACATTCTGTCCGGTAGCAAGTTTCGAGGGATGTTATGGTACTCTCGGACCAAGCATCTAACAGGTCAGGGGTACTGAACCTAACCGACCCGATCATCACCTTTCGGTTATCCTGCTGGTCGGCTATCGTCTGGAAAGCCGGCAACGTCCTATTGAATTTATGGTTGTATGAGCGTGTGTACTCAAGTGCCTGGTTTGCTAGATTCTCCCAGTTTTTAATAATCTCTTTGCTTTTGTTTCTCATCAACATATAATCTGCTATGGCCAACTTCAAGAAATAGTTGATTCCATCCAGGATTTGGCCCGCACCTTCGACTGCGCAAATCTGTCGTCAGGAAGCATCAACGAGATAATCACGGCTTTCATAAACTTTTCCGTTGTGTCTTCTTCCACCACAAGATAAGTTAAGTAGTCGACACCTCACATTTGACCCCTCCTCGATGTACAGTTAAACCGAGGGTGTAGAACGAGAGGTGGAACGCTTGTAGAACGAGAGGTTGGAACGCTTGTAGCGCGAGAGGTGGATCGTAGGCCAGTGGACTGGGGGAGAGATAAGTAGTCGACACAGGAGAGGATTGGGCTGTCGGGCTATTGGGCTGTCGGGCTATCGATGATTATGATTATAATATGCTGCCGGTAGAATACGAAGAAGTTTACGGCTCCCAGTTTAGCTACGAGCTCGCGCTGATCATCTACACCCGGTACCGCACAGTCGCAGAGGAGCCGATCGAATACGATGTCTGCGATTACCACTTCAACGCCAAGCTAGGCTTGGGTGTGCACAAGAAGATCGGGTTTGCGGTAGTGTTCCACCGCGACGCACGGAAAAACTTTATCATTCCGCTGAGGTTGTTTGAGCGGTACGCGCAGGCCATTTGTTCCAAGATAAAGTCATTCACAGAGGCAATACGGTGCCAGCAGGCAAAGGACGAAATTGTTAGGCATCTCGAGTGGGACTGCGAAGTCGGCGAGCCCGGGTTCGAGCATGGGCGCGGCCGGATCAGCCCGCAAAGCAAGCCGATCCAGGCGTTGCCCATCCATTTTGGTTTCGGCTGCGACTGCGGCATCATCAGACGACAATTTGGCGAGTTGAGCCGCCACCCATGTATCCAAAAGGATACAATCCGGCCGGTGGCGTACCAAAAATTCCCGCAGGTGAAGGGTCGAATGGCCGCTAACTTTGAGGTTTACTGTCCCACCTACGGGGGGTACGTGGAAGATCGCGCTCGAATGAAAAGAGGGAGCAAGATGCCGTCATCAGTAGCATCGTCATCATCATCATCATCATCATCATCATCATCAAACGCCACTGTTCTGAACGTGCGCACCACCAATGTGCCAAACCTGCAGCACCACCCGTTGGTGAAACGGATTCTCCAGGAAGTGGATTGTGATGCGGTAGACACTCAAGTGTCCGGAATGAAGGAAGCGAGCATGGTCGCAAAGATCGCACAGCTCTTGGTGGGCGCCATGACACTTCTCAACGCCAACATCAACCAGATCAATCTCGCGGGGCTCCGAGTGGTGCGTCTTCTCAAAGTTGCCGCTAACAACAACAGTCGGTCGACGTATTTCCGGGCGATCCAAACGTATCTTACTTGCGTGCAATACAGCAAGTACATGGCCGAGCTCGTATACATGGTATTGATGTATGGCTCCAAAAGTGCATTATCCTTGGCGATCACAGAAATGCTCGAGAAGTATAGAGAACAGGATGTGGTGTTGGAGATCAGCCCCCATGATTACCACAGCTTGACAGGCTACTCGCAGTTTATCAGTGCTGACGAACGCATGCGGATCTTGAACCAGACTTTCACCGAGCCGCTACTCCGCGACATCGACCAGCTCGTGCATTGGATCACAAACGAGTGTCTCAGGAAAGAGTTTTACGAAAACCTTGCGGTTGCGACGACAGAGGGCGTGTCCGATGCAACGCCAGCAAGTGATATTAATGCGGTTGACTTGGAGGGAGACGCCATAGCCGCAGGAATCTTGGATGAAGACGAAGAAGGCGACAACGACGGATTGGGGATGTATTTGGAGGCGATTACTACTACTACTACTACTACTACTACTGCTGCTGCTGCTGCTGCTGCTGCTGCTGCTGCGGCAACCCCAACCGAGTCGAGGTCTGTGCCAACAGAGTCTGAGTCTGAGTCCTTGGCCGGTTTGTACTATCCCCTTTATGACGAACAAGAGGGAGAACAAGAACAGGAGAGCGGCCCATCTTCGAACGAAAACTGGTTTGTGATATTCCTCGGGTTTCTAGGGTCTGTTTATCCGACCAAGAAGTTCTGCCGGTCGTTGAGTGGAATAGGTTACGTAGCCAAGACATGCATTTTGTTAGATATCATCAAACGCGCCCGTATTCGCCGTGTATCACTTAGACAGGCAGAGGATGTCTCGATTGTGGATGCCGGCCTGTACCGCTTGTTGACCCTGGCGCGCACTCACTACATTCATCTTGGACTCTCGTTGGCCCGTAGCGAAGGTAATCTCTTCCGCCTCAACTTGACGACGGGGGACATCTACAACAGCGAAAATGCAGTTGTGGGTCACAAGAACATGATGCGTACCATTTTCGATCGGTTGTACGCGCTTGCAAATTCTTTTGTTCTCGAAGTGTCCCAGGGCGAAGAGCTCGACTACTCGGTCGACAATGCGCGGCTCAGCGACGGCATGGTTTCCTTCACCGAGTGTGTCCAAGTACCGCTGTATTTTCGGTATAAGCTCCGGTTTTTCGAATTGTATAATAATGACATAGGCCGGTTCCGCAAGGCGCATTCCACGTTAACGCTTATTCTCATCACGCTCCTCCATATCCTGTGTTTGCCAGCACGCTCGACCGAGATCGATCGGCTAACGGTGGAAGGTGATTCCAAACTGTATCGGGGTGTGTATTTTCTCGGCTCCACGTTTGGTTTCTGCTACAATTACAACAAGTCGGCCAACGCCAAAGACCCCATCATCCGGGAAATCGGGCCCGAGTTGTCGTCGTTGTTTTTGTGGTATGTACTCGTCTACCGGAGAATGTACGTTGAGCTGACATTGATAGAGGATAGCACCAAGTTGTACCAGTTCGATGCAGCGCTGACCGACAAGATCCGGGCAGGCATAGGGCTTTGGTTTTCATACGGTATGAATAACCATCGCAACTACAAGTTTTGCGAAGTGCGCCAGATCCTCAAACGTTGCATCGAGTTCCATTACACCAATGGAGTCAAGGCCGATCTCGAGATGTACCGCCAGGTCTACGAAACCATTGCACGGACCCTGGGTCATTCAGTGTCCACGTCCACCGAGCATTACGGGACGATCACCAATTATCCGCCATCTGTCAACGCGGCCGATGTGCTCCGGTCCCGTCATTTGGGCCAGGTCTGGCACCGGCTGGGATTACGACGGAAGTTTATTACTTTCGAGGGCGAGATTTTTGATCCTGTTGATGTGGATGAGGTGGCATCTGATCTTTCAAATGACCCGGCTAGTCCTACATAGTCGACACAGCGGCGCGTACGATGGGAGGATGGAGGTGTGTAATGTTTTTTTTTTTTTTTTTTTTTTTTTTTTTTTTTTTTTTCTTTTTTTTTTCTAGGGTGTTAGGGTGTTAGTGACTTGTAGCGGGTGTAGACTGGGGGCGGCGGCGGCGGCGGCGGCGGGCTTGGCTCTAACATCATATTTGCTGGTGTTTGGCTGGCTTTGGTTATGGATTGACGAGTTCAGCGCTGGGTAGATCAAAAGGATTTAAAGGATTTTCCGCCTGTTGGTGCGGGCGGCCGGCCCGGCTGCAAGTTACCGTTTTGGGTGCGACTTGGGTGCGACTTGGGTGCGACTTGGGTGCGACTTGGGTGCGACTTGGGTGCGACTTGGGTGCGACTTGGGTAGCGACAGCTTTAAATTATATGGATTATATGGATATACTCGTCAACTCATCCAGCTTCTGAGACCAATCCGGCTTCTGGGCCAGCACGACTGCGCGGCGGCGAGCCAGCCATCAATTATCTCGCACACTTTCAGTCCTCTTAAAGCAAGCCTGTTGCCCCAATTTTTATTTTTTTTTT